GGCTAGGAGGGCGCTCACAATAACAGTAACAACAACTGTCTTCTATAACCACCACTGGTCTGTCAGTTTGTCCTACTGCTGTCGCTTGCATGTTGCTGTGATTCTGGAGGCTGTGCCATGTTTATTTTAAATACCAGCAGGGTCACCCATGATTGACAGGTTTCAGCTGAGCTTCCAAATGAAGATAGTCTATAAAAAGGAGAGATGGACTGTTTAGTCACTGAAAACACTATGAATAGCAATGGAACACTGTCAGCACCAGACTGACTACTGAATACTGAAACATGATGAAGAGCACCAAAATATTGTAAGATGCAGTGCTGGAAGATGAGCCCCTCAAGTTGGAAGGCACTCAAAATAGGACTGGGGAAGAGTCGCCTCCTCAAAGTGAGTTGACTGTGATGACACTAATGGAGTAAAGTCCTCCGGACACAACTCAAACTGAAGAGAAACAGCTGTAAACATTCACTAATAATCGAAATATGGAAGGTACAAAATACCTTTAACAACTGGAAATTGTTAAAAATGAAATGGAACACATAAACATGGATAGGTATTAGTGAGCTGAAATGAGTTTGCCATTCTAAACCTGACAGTCACATAGTTTACTATGCCAGAAATGACAAATTGAAGAGGAATGGTGTTGCATTCATCATCAAAAGGACAAATCAACATCGGTAAGGAGGTACAATGCTGTCTGTGATAGGATAATACCATGCGCTTACAAGAAAGACTAGTTAATACCACTATTATTCAAATTTATACACCAACTACTAAAGCAAATGATAATGAAATTGAAGAATTCTAACAACTTCTTCAGTCTGAAATTGATCCAACATGCAATCAAGATCCAACATACATAAACCAATTTATTGGTAACTACAGGCAACTGATATGCAAAGGCTGGAAACAAAGAGGAAGGATCAGTAGTTGGAAAATATATTCTTGGAAATAGATAGGATGCTGGAGTTTGCAAGTTAGAATTTTGTAAGACCAATGATTTCTTAACTGCAAATACCTTTTTAAACATCATAAAAGGCAACTACACACATGGACTTCACGAAATGAATTACACAAAAATCAAATTGGCTACCATATCATCAGCCAAACGAGGCCACGAGCAGACTATGGAACAAACAGACCATCAATTGCTTATATGAAACTTAAGATTGAAGATAAATAAAATTAAAACAAGTCCACAAGAGCCAAAATATGCCCTTGAATATATCCCAGCTGAATTTAGAGATCTGAAGAACACATTTGATGCACAGACAGAGTTAAGACTGAAGACCGGAAGAGTTGTGGGATGACATCAAGAACGTCATGCAGGAAGAAAGCAAAAAGTCATTAAGAAGACAAGAAAGAGGGAAAAGACCAAAGTGAATGTCAGAAGAGACTCTGAAACTCGCTCTCCAGCATGGAGATGCTAAAGCAGATGGAAGAAATGAGAAGGCACAAGAACTGCGCAGAGAATTTCAAAGGGCAACTCGAGAAGACAAAGTCAAATATAATAAAAGGTGCAAAGACCTGGAATTAGAAAACCAGACAGGAAGAACACACTCAGTATTTATCAAGCTGAGGGAATTGAAGATAAAATTCAAGCCTCAACTTGAAATATTCAAGGATTCTATGGGCAAAATATTGAGCGATGCAGAACGCATCAAAAGAAGATGGAAGGAATACACAGAGTCACTGTACCAAAAAGAAATGGTCTCTATTCACCCATTTCAAGGGGTAGCATGTGCTCAAGAGCCAATGACACTGAAGGAAGAAGTCCAAGGTGCATTGAAGTCATCGGCAAAGAACAAGGCAAAGAACAAAGGAATTGATGGAATACTTATTTGAGATCTTTCAACAAAGTGGTGCAACATTGAAAGTACTCAGTCATCTATGCCAAGAAATTTGGAAGACAGCTACATGACCAACTGACTGGAAAAGAACCGTATTTGTGCCCATTCCAAAGAGAGGTGACCCAACGGAATGCAGAAATAATAAGAAAATATCATTAATATCCCATGCACATCCATGCTGATGTCAGATGGATTTTAGCTGAAAGCAGAGAATACCAGAAAGATGTTTACCCATGTTTTATTGACTATGCAAAGGTTTTCAATTGTGTGGATTATGACAAGCTATCTGGTAGCGTAGTGGTTACGAATCGGGCTGCGAACTGCAAGGTCAGCAGTTTGAAACTACCAGCTGCTCC